TATATATATATATATATATATTATATATATAAACATTTTATTTCAAATTATAATTATTTCATTAGGACGCTGCACACAGTTTATTTAAACTATTAGAAAGCCCAATCTAATTATTTAAAAATGTTTTATTTAAAAAAAATCAAATTTATAATATAATCATTATAATATACAGATATTATAAATTTAATTAAATATAAATACATAAGTATGTAATTTCACTATACTAATGTTTTTTAATAACATCTATCGATACTAATATGCACTTCTTCACTATAAACTGTACACAACAACTGTGAGAATAGTATTTGATCCTAGATTGCACTCATATGACCTTGCAGAACCCAACCAGTTGAAATAGTTCCCTGTTGTACCTACAATATTGCTAATATAACTGTAAAATAAGAGGCTCTCAAACGTGATGCATTTTATTCATTTAATGTCTGCGAATATTTAAGATATATGTATATATCTTATAAATAATTATTGTATTATCTTTAATAATCTTTTTATCATTACAATTTATAATTAATCTATATAAATAAGATAAACTGAAATAACAATCCAAATATGTTTAAATATTATTTATTATATAAAATGTTATTTTATTATAAGTGATTTCTTTTGCGTTAGATAGTTTAATAGTAAAATTTAATTATATAAATCATATTTTTATTATATTAATATTCTTCAGATTTTTAAATTGAGAAACACTGAGCTTCTAGATGGGAATTTATTTCTTGAATCTGAAATGAGAGATATTTCGAATTTTTGTGTTCCTTCACGCGTATAAATTATCTAGGGATATATATTTTTATATATATGAAAAAATATTTACTACAATTTTACTTTATATTTTAAATAATATATTTTCAAAATAAAAATAGAAAACATTTATATATTATCTATTAAACATTTATTATTAAATATATAATATATATGAAATTTTTATTATATGTATATATATATGATATATATACGTATGTAGCAAGTATATAGTAAATATGGATATTAAATAATATCTGGATAATATTTGTTTCTTAAAAATATCAAAATGATTAAATATATATATTTTTTCTTTTCTTTCTGTTTTATATATAACAACTACACAAAACTGCATTTTTCACAAAATATATTATTTCTAATTATTAATTATCCGAAAACACAGGATAGTCCTAGAATTTATTGTTATATTTAATTGTAATTTATAAATTAAAAACTCACCCAGAGTTTACACTATTGTTTTCCAATGATTAATACCACCTACACACAATTTCTTTTTTACTAATTAAAAATAATTTATGTGCAATAGATATATATCACGTTATTTACATATTTTAATACATAAGGATAATATTTCTTTTGTACAGGTACATTATCATTATATATTAAAAAAAAAAAAGATATACAATACTTGTAATACTTTTAAACAACATTTACTTTAGTTACTGCAATAGGTAACGTTGTCCTGTCAACTAATAAACCATCGGTTGTTATTTGATAACTAATATCATCTTTAGTTTTACTAACCGGTGTTAAAAAGTAAGTGCTACTATTTTGTCCTACTGCTTCGCTTGAAATGACTACAGGCAATATTGTACCATCTTCGGTAACTATTTCCGCTGATTCAGAATGTTTCTCAGGTACATCTTTTTTATCAGTTTCAACTTTAATACCACTATGATTCTGCATAGGTTGTGACCTAGCTACGAATTCCAATTTAGCAAATTTAACTTGCGGAAATTGAACTTTCATGAATCTTCTAAATGTAGAATATCCCATAATTTTAATATCTGGTGATACTTTGGTACAATAATTGGTATACAAATCATGAACAGTTTTACGAGTGATATCTGGTGGAAGATGCAACGGAGCATTCTTAGAAAGTTTAGTTTTTTGTTTAGTTTCCTGAGATTCAATAAAATGTTTTAAAAATTTCGTAGCTATTTTATAAATATCCAAAGAAAATGTATTGTGTGGAACTTTTCCATGATTGCCATGTACTCTTGGAGTAACACCATGAGTTATTAAATGCTTTCTAATCCTTTTTATTTGATAATGTGTACAATTTTCTAAATATAAAAAAGCATCTAAGCATACTCTTCTACCTTGGTATACATAATGAGCTCTTAATCTACGCCTTTCGGTATGTCTTGCAGTTTTGTAAGGATTTGTTAAACAAGCCATAATTACACCCATTAAGTACATATCATGTTCGGCTTTTGTTAACTCAGCGATATTTAATCTATGTTTATACACTGCTTCAGGATTTAGTCCTTTAAAACATTGATCGTCTTGGCATTCACAACCACGCTTAAATCGTTCCAACACTTGACTAGGACTGTCTTCTAATTTAGTTGGATCATAATTAGTATCCGTTTTCGTTTTCATTTTAGTCATATGTTTCTTTGATTTGGAAGTACTCGAATGTCCTTTTTGCTTTACCTAAAGATAAATATGATATTTTAAAAAATATAATTTAAATTAATTATTTATTTGACATAAGGTGTAACAGATTAAAATTATTATAAATTATTATTACAACTAAAATAATATGCAATTGTAAATAAAAATAATTATACTGTTTACCTCTTTCTTCGATTCCACTTCTTCCACATGTTCATTACTATTTACACAATTCACTACCTGATTCTGGCAAGTCAAAGCAGATTTTTCTTCATTCATTTCCATTATCTTCAATTCTTCTTCTTCTTCTTCTTAATACAGGAAATATTATCTGCTACAACTATAATGTCAAAAAAAAAACAATATCATGATAAAATAAGGAATATTTAATTCAAATGAAGTGTACAAGTAAAATAATTGTTCCAATCGTTAAAATAATATACGTATATCATTTAAGAAAAGAAAGAAACACTTGTTAAAATTCTTTAAACAAACTTCATAAAATCAATTTGCAAAAAGGTCGAATATCGCTTGTCACACTTTTCTTTTCACAAATTTTCACTTTGATTAAACGTGATAATTTAACACCTTACTTACCTTTAACTGTTTCTTTTTGTAGATATCCCATTAATTCGAATTCCATTAATATTAATAACACACAATATTTAGAAATTAACTTTTATAAAACACTATTTAAATACTATTTTCGCTTAATGTTATCGACATTACTAGACAGAACGTTCGACGATATGGCGAACATTTCGTTCGTACGAAAAATTGAGTGGGGGAAGAACTTCCAGGACCGTATTCGTTATTATCGGAACCCTAGATATAAAATAATACTTGTCATCAAATTAATAATATAATTCTATATATTCAATTATTCATCTTTGTATTTAAATGAACATGGACAGAAAAAATGATGCTAAGAGTGAAATAAATATAAAATTATTTTACGTTAAATATTCTGTTTTTCTTTTTTTATGTAAAGATAAAGTAATTATAAATAATCTTTTATAGGTAAAAAAATGTTATTGTAAAATAAAAATCGGTCTAGCGTTTATAAAGGAAGAATCGATATTAATACGCTAAGCACGTTGTTCTTTCTTCTTTTACCTTTCTCTTTTTAGCATACAAAAAATAATCTTCGTCCGTATAAAGAAGATACGAAATTATTAAGTGGAGTTCCTTTTACATTAGAACAATGAGTTATAATTATCTGACTAATTGCATTCAACAGTCCTACGTCTACGTTATATAAGAACCTTACAATTAGTAATTATTTTTTAATTGATAATGATATATTTTTTTTTATGAACCATGTGGTCTTTCAACGGATTATGTTTAATGCTCATTACATTAAATGGATTAATCAAAATAACTAGAAAAAATGGTGACTATTACGATTAGTTTTGTTTTATACGTTAAAAGTATGCTTATACGTATTTTTATTAAATCGTGCTAATGCTTGATAGATACAGCCCTGATATATCGACTAAAGGAGTATAATGATGCAAGAGAGGAGGGGCTTGAGACCGCATGCACTCTTCGCGGGAGTAAACATGTCTTGTACGTCGTATGATACGTAAAACGGTCCACAAATAACACAGGACGTACGTTGACTTTTAGAAGAAAAAAAGCGACCTAAGCACAATCTCTATATATAGTAATAAACAAAGAAACGAGTCATGAAACGTTCTTCCCTCCCATAAAAAAAAGAGTCCACTTAAGAATAGAACGTTTTTTAAATATCGCGCCATTTTTTAATGATCTCTAATGAATACTAATGAATTTTTTATTACAATAATCATTTGAAATAATAATCGAGATAATAATTAATGAAAGACTTTTTACTATATTTTCTCATGAATCGATATATCTTTATCGTACTTATCACGATGTTGCCTCATGCGTCAAAGAATATTAATAATTGAAAAGCTAATAACAGCGAATGATAAGAAAGTAGTGACGGAAAAAGAGAGAAAATAATATTAAACACAGTCAGAGTTTAAAGAGTTACAACGAATATATGTATGTATGTATATATATATATGTGTATGTAAGGTGTGCGAGGAAAAATATAAATTCCGATAGAAAACCGGCTAACGATTCAAACCTGCGCATCTCGTCGAACAATGTTGATGGCAGGGACAATTGCAGCTGTGGACAGATTTTCGACGGAGGATCATCTTGCCTCCACGACGACGATTAACTCACGTCTATTTATCTCTATCTTTTTTCTATGTTCTTTTTTTTTTAGTGTCTAATCTACTATAACCGCTACCGCTGTTACTGCTATTGCTGCTGCTGCAGTGTTGCTGATGTCGGCTTTAACCGATCTTCACGACGACGAATTCTGGTCGAATGCCGCGCCGACTTACGACGACGAAAGGAGGCTCACAGGAGTGCTATATGAGGATATACCGTTTCCTCATTTGATCGATAAAGAGAAGAAGCAACCGAGCGAGTAAAGGAACGTATATAAACGAACGACCGGACGAACGAACTTACGAACGTACGAACGGGTATAACACGAGGGGTGTTTCCTCTCACCGCCCTTCTCGAACGATGCACTCGGAGTCGACGACTCTTTAGTTACGGTCTTGCAACCTTCTTCTCTTCGTCCTCCCACAACCTTTCGCGCGCTTGCACTAACTCAAAAATCGATCGCCGATTGGCCAATCGTGACATTCCCAATTTAATTTTCTCCTTTCTTTTTATTCTTTAATAATGACAAAATCGACAAAGGAAATGCAATGTAGACAACTTTAATACACTTATTTCCCTCTCCTTCTTTTTATGCACTCACAAGATGAGTATCTCATTTATTTTCTATCTTTTTCTTTCTCTTTATGCGCATCATTTATGCAAGCCGAGATGCACGGCGCCACCATGACGGCGCATCGTGAGCCGAGACCAATCACATTGAAGCTATGCTACAGGGGTAAGGTGGATACTGACACGTGACTCGCCGTGCGGCGTGTGCATCTTCGTTCAAAGTGTATGTCATTCGAAATTAACAGAATTATCGTTTGTTTTTTTGTTTATTTTTAAATGTTTTTACACGGAATTTTTCGTATTTTTAAACGTATTATTTCTTTTAAGGTTTCTTATGTAACATTAGGTTTTTCAAATACCATTTGTTACCGTTATTCGTAATTACTTACCTTGTAACTTCTAATTATAGGTTTTTAATCGTTTACTCAGCGAAAATTATGCGACCATGAAAAACAAGATCGAAATATAAACGAAAATTTACTTATCGGAATGTCAAGAATTTATTACTAGGGAAAATTCATTATCATTTCGTTTTTTAAGCTATTGTAGCAGCAATTACGTAAAAGTCATAATTTTTAAACGCGTTGATACGAAATGACATTCCAAAAACTTCATTAATTTTGTCTTTATCGCACGAATACCTTGAAAGAGCATTAGAGATAATACCTTTTAATAGCTTACGATAGTAAAAAACAAGGAAAAAGCAAGAATGTGTAACGTTTTTATAAAACTTTTTTTCCCTTTAACTCAAGAGTCATATAAATTCAGGAGTCAAAGTATCTCAAAAGTGACTCGAATGAATTAAAGACAAAATTATATATACATATAACAGGGTATTTAAAAACTGATTTCAATTGTTATATATTCAAATGCAAAAAGAAAATGTAGCAAAAATACAATGCAGAATGAATAATCAAAATATTCATGATCGAAGAATAATGCCGTTGACGCCCTAACAACAGAAAAGAGAGAATTGCAGGAGACTAGGATGTAAGAGGATACAGAAGGGTGAAAAGAATTTAAAGCGAAAGGGGTAAGTTAAAATCGGCGAAAAGGGATGAAATGCTTTAAAGGGGTTGTTTGTTTTTTCGTTCCATTGGCAAGAAAAGGAACGTTCATATCATTCGCGACTCACCAGCCTCTAGAAGTTCGAGGTCCAGATTGCCGCTCCTGCTACGGCTGATGCTACTACTTCCGCAGGCATTGCTATAAGCGGACCTGTGGGACTCCTCCATGGCGCGAGATGCACTACGCTTGAACTGTTCCAAGAAACTGTCTATCTGATTTTCAATGCTGCTTGGTGAGCTGGCCATTTTTCGGATATCGAACGATAGACCTTTGCTCTGTATCGTCGTCGTCGCGTCGTTGTTGATGTACAATAAGGAGAGGTTAGAAAAAGATAGGCAGAAAAATAAAAATAAGAGACGAAAAGAGAAGAGTAAGTAAGAAATCAAGAATAGAAGAAGACAATAACAATGAAAGAAAAGAAGGTAACGGTGAAGGAGGAGTAAGAGGAGGGCAAGAGATGTATGTCTTCTAACGACGTTTTTACGATCGATTCGTCGTGCTTTAAACGGGCACGCACGTTTGGCCCGTTATACGTGCCTACATTTTCCAATTGGCCTGTTCTTTACCATGATTAGTCGTACAAATGTCTCGACGATTGTTAGTGTCACGCGCGCTAACACCAAACGAATCCTCGGTCGTGTCCTCTTCTGCCCCTGTAGCACCACCTCCCGCTCTACGTCGCATGTTCGCTCGCTTTCGAGGAACGACCGGAACTGAAACGACGCATCGCCTGCCGCAATGCTCCAGCGGCAGGTGTCGCCTCTGTATCCACCCTTTTATCCTTCCCACCACCTTCAATTACATACCTTGCGCATTGACTTTCACATAAAATTACTTTTTTTTTATTAATCCCTATATATCCTTAGAATCAAATTCCACTAACATCTTTAAACGTTATTATAAATACATTTTATTCATTTTCATTTCTTTCTATTCCTTTTAATACTTTGACCTCGTAGTTATTAAATATTTTAATACCAAGTCCCTTTTATAAGCTCTCATAACTGGAGCTTTTCTTGTAGGGATTCGATTTGCTTTTAACTCGATGTAACTATCGAATTATATGTATTTAAATGCATAAACATATAAGAAAGAAATATATAAGTTTATATCATCCTATATTTTTTAAGAAAATGAAATAAAAATAATTCATAAAATTCAATCATTTAATTTTGATTATACGAGAATAAGATATCGAAGTTCGATTCCTTGTTGCTAGTGCGTTCGTTTATTCGTTCATTCGCTACTCGCTCGGTAAAAAAGATTAAGATCTCTGTTCTTCGCGAGATGAGACAGAAAAAGAAGGAGTTAAAGTGGGGAAGAGAAGACGAAAAGAGAGATCGAGTTAGAGAAGAAGTATATACGAGCATCACTTCATCGTGATCACTCGCGTCGCGAGGTCGGCTGAGTGTGCACGTATTCGTATTTCTCGTTATTATTTCATTCTTATTACGGCTTCTTTGGCCGACAGCTCGTGGGTGTGTACATCGGTGTCTCTCTCTTTCTCCACGAATTTCATCAACTAGACGAACAGAAAGAAATAGAAAAGAGAAGGATAGAATAAAAGAGAAGGAAAACTCAAAGAGTTCTTCAAAAGTTTTCTGCGATCATGGCCGGTAGGTCTTTCTTATTTTCTACTACTTTCTTTTTTTTTATCTTCATCATTATCGTCATCATTATCATTATCATCATTATCCCATTATCAATATAATAATAATCATCATCATCATCATCATTATCACTGTCATTATTATTATTATTATTATTATTATTAATTTTAATTGTCGTTAACGATTTAGAAATATTGTTCGAATTTTTAATTCGAATAGAAATTTCTATTTAAGTTAGAGAAAATGGAAAAGAGAGGTTATGTTATATTCCATTGAGAGAATTGTGCCAACCGGCACGCGATAAGCTCGCCGGTATAACCGGTCTTGACCTAATAACCTTTTCAAACATGATTAGCATCGTCCAACGGCCGAAACATTGATCTATCTAATCCTTTTGATTAGAGAACGCGTACTTCATCAAGAGAATAAGTATATCTAATTTTAGTTATATATATATACTTATTTGGTTATATATTTACTTACGCCGGCAATCATTTCTTTCTCTTCTTTTTCTATCTGTTCTTTTGCTTTCTTTTTCTATTTCTTTCCTTTACTTTCTTTCTCTCTCTTTTTCTCTCTCTCTTTCGAATCATGTTCCATTTGTCGAAAGGGAAGGGATACGTGCGCAGAAATGATTGAAGAACGCGCGTGCGCAATTTCCCGCCCTTTTTTTCGTACGATTTAATTATCTTCATACTGTAGCGTGCCGATTAGGCGGGAAATTCGTCAATTTTCTTTTTTTTTATTGCTTCTCACGGAGAATGAACTTTAAAGTTCTTTATTGGATGCAGAAACAAGCTACGAAATTTTTAATAATAAAGTTACAGACAGTTTATGCAGGTATACCCTTTTTTAAAACTATAACCAGTCAAATAGCCGATTTTTTCATATTTAAAACCGGCCATTTAATAGGTCGTTGTACGTTTAATCAATTGAATGACTGTTTTTTAACTAAAGTTATATTTTTTTTAATTTCAATACGATTAATATGGTAATAATTTGTTATTGGATTTAAATATTAAATAAACCAATTGTTAAATAGATAGTAAAATAATATTTACAATTATAATTATCCTAAATTTAAATGAAACTTAACAATAATCGCGCGATTATTTTACCTTCTTTTATAATGGTGTACTTGTTTTCTATTTACATATTTAATTATTGTAATAATACCAAATATATACAATAAAATTACTAATTTAGAAATTTGAAATATTCAATTTTGTTCCTTACAAATCGTATGTTAATATTAATCTGTAACATTTAAAAAAAGAACCTTATTCATCATGAAATAGAAATTTAAAAATAAAACAATTGCAAGTTTCTCTTTTATTATTATTACTTTGTTTCATTACAACTTTCTCTCTCTTTTTCGAGGTTCCTTTTATATGAAATAAGATAAGTCACAAGCCGTCTCGACGGTATCTCCGGCAGTTTATTCCTGGCTGTTCCAAGGGAGAAACTTTGCGGCTCTTTGCCAAATGTCGTAGATCTCTTGTTATACTTATTCTGATACGTCCTGAAATTGTTTCGTACCGCGCCGAAAAGAATTTGCGCAAAAAAAATCCTAGTCGTGCGCGCGCGTTCTATCTCTATCTCTCCCCCCTCCAGGTCCTTCCTATTCCTTTTAAACCCCTCCCGCATAGTTCTTGGCATGCATTTATTTCTTACTTTGGTCTATTTTAAAATCTCAACCCCGACGCGAATACATAAAAAAAAAATATTTAACCACTCATAAAGGCTTTGTAATTTTTAAATATAAATACATATATCTGTATAAGAAATATATAAATATTTGAAAGACAATTTTGATATCGAACCTTTCATCATTTTTAAATCCGATTTAATACTCATTTGTATAACAGATATTTCTCGATCGTACGATACTACGTCGTATGATCCATACAATGAGCTTATCGAATAACACGCGATTATATAGAATGTAATTGATATATCCTCGGAGAAATCTTTTTAAACATACGATACGTTAGATCGCGTAAGCATTCGAGAAGGAAGACGATACCGATCCTATCTAACAATAAGTATAACTCGATCAATCGATCAAAAAGTCAACAGCAGTAAACAAACCATGATACTTTTTTAATGAAATCACCAACGTATAAAATCATCGTCAAACGTGGGTCGAGTTAAGGATGATAAATCGTTGTACAGACGTTTAAATAATTACAACTCGGGAAGAACTAACTTCACATATATATACACACGTGTACTCACGCATACTTATATACAATCATACATATGAAAGAAACGGTGTCTTACAGTTATGGGAAAAAAGCATCGAGTTACAAGTTACGAGCGTTACTTCTTGAGATATATTCTCTTCTCAATCTTCTTCCGCTAAATATTTCGAGCTTGTTTTACGAGCAACGAGGTTCGTTAACCCTTCCTTTGGCCGATACAACGATACATACATACGTACGTACCTACCGGACTGGCGTTGCTTTCACGCAAGGTCGAACTTGTCTCGGTTAAGATCAGCACTCGGGGTCTTTTGGTATGAGACAGTCGGTCGTCTCTGACACACGTGTATATTCTTTTACTGTCTTTTCTACTTTTATTTACGAGAAATACTCTTTTCTTTTTTAAATCAGTTCTATATTTGTACAAAGGTTCAATCATTAGAAGAGTTAAACACGTGGCTTGCAAAACTCTAGGATATGCTCCTGTTATACTTCTATCAACTAAATTTTATTTTATTGTTTATTTCATTAGTGACGTCAAACATTTGGCTTGCAAAATTTCAATCCTGTTATCAAACGAATAAATTCATTTTTACCATTTAACATTGACCTCAAATACGTAAAGACACTAGAATGAGACACCCCATGCTGTTATTAAATAAGTAAATCTTATATTGTTCTTTATTGCAATAATAATACCAAAATTTCGGCCCAAAAGATTCTAAAATTTAGTCCAATGCTGTTATCAAGCATGAATATTCTATTTTGCTGTTTACTCCAGCAGTGGTGGCCCACAAGACCCAAGAATATAGTCCAATGCTCTTATCAAATATGCAAATTTTATTTTGTTGTTTACTACAGCAGTGATGTCAAAGATCTTAGAATAAAGCTTCAAGCGTCGTTTTATCTTTTTTTTTGGCTTACTAACATTTTTTTAGAATAAAATTACTTTTCTTTTTTATCTACGGACCGTAATTTCTCTTTAATTAAATTTGCTGGCTCATATTCAAATGTGAATTTGATAATACTGGCTTACATTAGATCAATTCTGGAGACTTAATATGATATCCCATTGCTATTTTTATCTAAACTTTTGTATTAATAATAAATTTTAGTATTATTATAATATGTATCAATATTTAAAGAATATTTTTTTATATATAAATGAATTAATTATATAATATTTTTAAACATCTGTTATTAGAATTAGTTTTGTACACTATTGGTTAAAGTTTTTGTTGCTTTTAGGGATTCAAAAATATATGCAAAGTATTATATATGGTTCTTATATTATCCCACCTTTTGTTTAGACTCTTCTCTATCTATTTATCTATTTTCTTATTTCTCAAGTACGCTCAAAATTCCAATTAAATTTCAGAGATAAAAAGAAAAAGAACGTACGATCTATCCAAAAGAAAATACAAGTTTATATATTGTATATAACTATAGATATTATCTTTAGTGTCTTATCTGTAGTACTTATTTATACGATAGATCCAAGCGTGAAACCTTTTAGTCCAGATTATACGAATTTTTGTTTTAACTCCTACCTGATGTTGCAGAAAAAAAAAATCTTTTTTTAATGTAATCATTTTGAAGATGTGTTCAGTCTACAAATATAAACATGAAAAAAAAAGATATTTCACAAATTATTTTTATTATACCCAATATAGTTGAATTTATTAGGATTTTTATAAATAATTAAGAATAATTACAATAAATATTTTTCTTAAAAACAACCCCACATAAAAAATTCATTGTAAATAAAGTTTAAATACCCTTTGTGTTTCCAAATTTGCTAAATGCGACTAAACATATTTTACCCTCGTATTCCATTATAAATTATAATATATATAAATAAAAAGAGAGAGAGAGTAAATTATTAATTTACTTGAATTATAATTATAATAAATATATAATTATATATAATATAATAATATAATATCTATTTATTATAATATTATATTATTATATAATAATAAATATAGTATTATATAATATATAAAAATTATTAAATTATATATAATAATTAGATAAATTATATAAATTATAATAAAATAAAGTAAATTATTTCTATTATAGCAAATACAATTGAATAGCTTAACATTTATATAAATAACTAAGAATAATAAAAATAAAGATTAATCCTAAAAATAATTCTACATAAATCTTTAAAATTGACGAACCTATATTCTAAAAATATTTGCTAAATATTACTCAATATGTTTTATCCTTTTTATCCATTATATACAATCTCTCATAGAGAAGACAGTTCGATTTTTTGGTATTTATGTATGTCTCGTTAGATCTAGGAATGGTAGACAAGGGAGGAACTATCTTATAAGGAAGCCTGTCTGGAACTGAGAAATACAAAGAGAGAAAGAGAGAGAGAGGGAAAGAGAGGGAGAAAGAGAGAGTTAAACGAGTGCTTGACCTAAGGCAAGGTATATGAATTGCATTTCGTACAAATGTGTGGCCGCTTTGCTATTATAAGCCATCCTGCCCGTATAAATATAAACTATTTTCTGTGTGGTAGAAAACGACGGACGGCCGGTACTCTGCCTCTCGGGTTTCGTCTCCGTATCATAATATGTGTATATCCATGGCGAGACTATATCTTCGTAGTTCTCTTTCTCTTTCTCTTTCTCTCTCTCTCTCTGTCTGTCTTTATCTTTCTTTCTCTTTCCCTGGGAGAAAAGATAGACTATTTTTAAAAGCTATCATGGTATCCAGAATCTTCGGTTCCATAACTGTTAGAAAATTCTCTAATATATCAAAACTTTTCAGAAATCTTATAGTTAT